ATTAATTTCCTATGAAAAGTTTAACAACAAACTTTGAGGTTTAGATGTTAATAAACCATTTGTTTGTGACACTTTTCTAAAGTTTTTGCAGGGCAGCTTTAAGAGGAAAGGAAGGAGGAAGAAGATTAGTTAGTTTTAACTTGAACCTTTAAAGAATGTGGATTTTAACCAGAAAGGGCAGACGTCATCGAATTCAGCCAAAACCTCAGGTACGCTCCGTAACAAACAGCCGTTACCTTGACCGGGTTAGTCTCACCCACCACGACTCAAGTCGGAGGAAAGATCGTCCAATTTGGTGAAGAACTTCTCAGAACCTCATCCAGTCTGACACTTTCCAGACGTGTTTACGTTACTTTTTCAGCGTCTTCTGGCTGCTGCTCGAAGATCAGAGACGAGGCGCTTTACGGTATCCGTCTCAAAAATAGAAAATACTTCCGCTCGGAAGTTTCAAAACAAGTTTCTCTATGAGGAACTTTGGTAAGCTCAAAATAAACGAGACCGAGTGGTGGTCTGTTCAGGCTGAGAGGGTCTTCCTTTGACTCAATGGGTTAATCCTCTCACAGCCAGGCTGGTTCTCCTCGGAGAGCCAGCTGCGTCCTCGTGAAGCACCAGAGCGTTGGCTTTCCAACATCTCCACAGACTGACTGTGTTCGTTCAGAGATGTTAGTTTTAAAGGAGAGGAAGGTTAGTGAAGGACTGCCAGGTGTTGTTTGTCTTAAACAAAATTGTTGACGTCTGCACAGTCGTACAGCTCGTTCTCTGGTGAGACACTTTAAAGAACACTTAAAGAATGATTTACTGAAAACTTAAAAATGAATTATTTCATATAGAACACTCGTTATAATGATTCAGATAAAAATAATTATAAAATGTTTCAAAATAAAGCTTCAACATAACGCAAAGTTTAGGAAAGTAAAATATTTAAACTTAAAAATCTATAATCAATTACTGTGGTTTCACAGTTAAAGTTCAAGCAGTGATTTAGATCAAAGCACAATAAAACATTGTAATAACATTCGTTTTGTGTTTTCTTTTTATACATTGATAAAATTTTGAATAAATAAAGATTATTCTGTTTACTATCTGATTAATAAGAAGAAAATGTCTCTTTGTTGTTTAAGAAAACCTGTTATGACTTTAACTGGAACAGAGTTCTCTCTTTAAAGGAGGTCTTTATTCCACCTCGAGGTGACCACTACAGTCCAAAATGTCAGATTTTGAGAAAAGTTTTAATGTTTTTAGAAGAACATWAATTGAATTTGATGCCATCTTGGCTTTTTAAAGTTGAGAAGCAGGCRTCCTTACATCTGTGTTGCATCACTTTTTCCCTCTTTACGCTCTCCAAGTGTTTCTGAACTGACATGACAAATTACTCTAGTTTTAAAAAGCGAAATGTTTTTCCTAGAATCTGCTTGATGTGTGTTTTTGCAGCTGAACATTTCAGTTTATCTGGTTTTGTTTAGTTTGTGTTCACTRAAGACATTCATTAGCATCTGAAGAAATTTAATTTTTTTCATGTTGCACAGTGACTATTGACTGTTTTGGTCCGTCTCGTAAAGTGATTAATATTGTGTAAATCATCTTGTTCATTTATTTATTTTTTTAGGTTTCCCGTTTGAAGAAGGATCTGCTGGCGTGCAGCGAGGAGCGAGACAGCGCTCAGCTGGAGAGGGACCTCCTCAACAACCGCCTCAAGCATTTGGAGAGTGAGCTGGAGTCGGAGAAGAGCACGCACACCGACCGCGGCCGCGAGATCCGAGTGCTAGAGGTGAGACTTGTAGGGTCAAAGGTCACGACTGGGAGTAAAAATAGCAGAGATGGCGTGCGCGAGAATCGGATGAGGTGGGAAATAAGGTAGTTTGTGTTGACAGGACAAAGTTAAAACTCTGGAGATCGAGTTGGACGAGGAGAAAAGCAGCGCGGAGCTTCTGAACGATCGCATAAACCGAAGCAGAGATCAGGTGACTCATCGAAACGTTTTCACCTCTCTTAAAACTCGCGGGAAGCGCCGGCGGGGTCTGAGCGGTTTTCTTTTCTCCCTCAGGTGGACCAGCTTCGATCGGAGCTGATGCAGGAGCGCTCGGCGAGACACGACCTGGAGATGGACAAGAGCGCGCTGGAGCGACAGGTACTCCCATAGCCCCGCCCACGCTGTYCATCAAAGGCTGTTTTTGTTTTTAAATGTCACCATGTCCATCTCGCTGCAGGTGAAGGAGCTAAAGACCCGCGTGGCCGACATGGAGGGGCAGACCCGACCCTCGACTGGACTCGCCCTGCTGGAGAAGAAGATTCAGGAGCTGGAGGAGAGACTACGCAGTGAAGAACGGTATAACACGCTCCAAGATAAGATAAAGTAAATTTGTTGCATCATGAAATTCTTCTTATTGATGAAACGGTCACAAAAAACTAACAGATTCTATGAAAGTCTCAAAGTTAATGTTTATAAATCAAACAAAACTGAATGTTTACCAGGATAAAAGTCAAAATGGAACAAGATGCATCACTTGTAAACTAGATTGTTGTTTTCTTTCTCTCCTTTTGCTCTAATCTGTAAAAAAATTACATTTATTTACCAACTAGACAGTTTTTTTTATGTTTAGGGTTTTTTGTGACCATAAGAGAAACAAGTGCTACAAACATCTAAGGCATATAATAACATTAAAATACCACCATTGTTTTCTGATGTTTTAGTTTAAGTAAAATAACTTGTTGAATAAAAGAAATAAAATTCAAGTTTCAGCACAACAGCCAGAAAAATGATCAAAGCAAAAGGCAAATCCTGCATGTGAAACAGTTCAAAATGAACGTTTTAAATGTCATAAAGTTTAAATAAAGGATGATTTCATGATGTCAGTGCTCCAGCTATCAGCTGTGTGCACAATACGAACAGTGACAAAGCTAGTAAAATACCACGCTTTAGGTTGCCTTCACCCAGAAATGTTGGTAAAATGTTGTGTCGCAGAGAGAAGTCGAGCATCCAGGCGTCCCAGAGACGAGTGGAGAGGAAGCTGAAGGAGCTGAACGCCACTTTGGACCAGGAGAGGAGCCAACATGTTGAGCAGAGGGATCAGGTGTGACGATCTGCTTCATTTACTTCTAATTTATTTAGTTTCCATTTCAGTTTTTATGGTTCTGACTTCAGTTTACTAATTTATTTAGATCTCCTTACCTCTCGACCCAAACCAAACCCTTCTCTGTCCCCAGACTGACCCCTGACTCTTCACCCCTCAGCTCCTTTAATATTTTCTGATAGAACCAGAACCTCCATTTTTTTTTTTTTAGAAATCCCCCAGTCAACCTGAGGCCTTAGAGCTCAGCTCCCTTAGCAGCCCACGTCTTCACCTCTGACCCCCTGCCTTTTCCTCAGCTGACCCTCCGCGTCAAGGCCCTGAAACGGCAGGTGGACGAGAGCGAGGGGGAGGTGGAGCGCCTGGAGGGGGTGCGCCGGAAACTCCTCAGGGACTTGGAGGAGCAGCAGGAGCTCCAGGAAGCAGGGCGGGCTAAAGTCTCGGCACTGGAGAGTGAACTCAAGTAGGTCTTCGTCACGATCTCCAGAAACCTTTTTAAAGCATATTTCATTTTGTTCATTGTAAATCAGCCATGTTGAAGCAGAGACATTTCTAGAACAGGGCTTCTCAAACGGGGGTCCCTGGACCCCCAGGGGTCCGTGAGAGGTACCTTGGGGGTCCTCAGAAAATGTCACTAAATTGTTAATTTGGTTTTTGTTTTTAAAAATGCATGGAGAACAATGAACAAATAAAACAAACATAACAAACTAAATAAAAAATATATATTCCCATGGCATTTAAGGGTTGAAATGACAATAAATTATCATTTAAAACAGCATGGGGTTTATGAGGGGGGTCCCTGGAATTTTTTTCACCATTGTAAGGGGTCCCCAGACCCAAAAGGTTTGAGAACCCCTGGTCTAGAACATGCAGGATAGTATTCCTCCAGGACTGAGGACCACTTCTTCAAACCTTCCATATGAAACTAAAAGTTTAGCATTATATAATAGTTTTAGCCATTCAAACATTTTTGTGTAACATTGTGAGCTTTTGCAGAATTTACTAGCAATCAGAGACCATGATGAGGATGACTCTCAGCTACTACCACTCCAAATTTCATCTCAGTATCTGTAAAATTGGCTGAGCTACAACCATTTTTGTAAGCTGTGGCGGCCATCTTGAATCGGGTTGATTTCAAAACGTCAATGAGCTTCAGACGTAGAGTTAATGATGGATTTCTGAAAGTTTCGTTAAAAGSTGTTCAATAGTTCACAAGATATTTTGCTAACCGACGTTCAATGCTGAAGTTTTAAGCAGAAATGTATTGTGCAGAAAATATGTTAGCGACCATGCCAAATTAYAGTTCAATATCTGTAATAATGATTGATTTACAGTTTGCTGGTCAGTTGGCTGTGGCGGCCATCTTGATTTCAGTTGGCTCCAAATGTGGATCAGCTGTAAACTCTTATCYAGTCATTTTATTCATGTCATTGACGCAGTGTGTCTTCTTAACACTAGATGGCGCTCTGTAATAAGTAGCTGAAAACGGTGAGCAGCACTGTCGCACATAAATCTATAATTTTTGCATCCCCTCAGGAGGAAGTCCCAGCAGACGCACCGCACCGCTCTGAGCTCCTCCGCTTTGAGCTCTGACGAGGAGGACGGAGCWGCTTCACCTCCATCCTGAGCCAGAGTCGCCTCCAAACCTGCCGACGACCGAAGAGCACAAGAAGATCCAGGAGAGACGTTTTTGGTTACAGAGCCTCCTCATGTAGAGGTTTTTTTACTTTTTAGTTGAACTGAGACACCTGGTCGGGATGATTAGATTTCTTTTTATTCTGTCATCATGGATCTGATCATTTTTCTTTTTATAGTTTAATTAGTTAAAAAAGGACAATCACTGTGGTTTGTGTTCGTTGTGTTAATGGTGATACTACAGCAGCACGTTCAGGTCATACAGTCGATTTCATATCTCAACCAAAGAAATATAACCTGTAGGCGTTAGCATGATAATTTATTTCTATTAGTGACTCTAAAAGAGTTTTTGTGTTTAAAGTGATGTTTTGACTGTGACAGTTTTAGGCCTTCAAACTGAGCCTTTGTTTATTTTTATTATTTTTTTATTTACACTGTATTTCAGACAATCAGTCATACACTAACAGCTTCAACAACTTTTCTTTTTTTAAAGTTTACCCGCATTAATACTCGTGGTTTGATTCACGTGCACGTCTTCACTCCGATGCCTTACAGAGAGCTTCACGTTTTCACTTCAGTTTGTGAGGATTTAAATCGTATTTCTCCTGCATGCCTGAACCTGCGTCGCTGCATTCCTGCTGAAGGACTCATTAAGTCAGATTTATAAGCAGTTTTCACTCATTTTGCACTTTGCTGTTTTTGGTGAATATTAATTATAATCCTCTAATGGTGTTTTTAAAGGTGTTTGTTGCGTTGTAGGAAATGTAAGGTTGTTAAATTAAACACGGATCTCGAATTTGACCGCATAGATTCCTCAAGTTTTTTGTTTTTGACAGAAACTTGATCACAAAATAAAAACATTTTCCTGCTTTTTGTATTTTTATTTTTATTTTATTCTACTTGACATTTAAGCAAGCGTTTGTCCCAGAGACTCAAAAAGACGATATCCACAACATTTACAGTGTCTCACAAACATGAGTACACCCCACACTTTTATTGCCAGAGGTTTATACGTTTATTACCATGTTGAGTTCTTTTGAGGGTATAAGCTGTACACTGATTATTTTACATTGCATCAAAGTAACACATCTTCAGTATTCTCCCTTGAAAAGATATAATAAAATATTTACACAAATGTGAGGCGAGTGCTCACTTTTGTGAGATGCTGTATCACATAAAACACGAAAGTTTGATCAATTTTTATTATGTTAAAATGAATATTTGGCAAATTTGACAAGTTGAGCCTCATTCTGAATTTAAAGTCCTCCAAGGAACACCTGAAACACTGTGTTTAAAGTCCAGTATAACTAATTTTAACCTCTAATTATGCTCTTTTTCAGTTTTACTTTAATAAGTTTTACTTATTAGTAACTCTTCACGGTTTGCTTCTAATGATTATGGAGGATTTTTGTGCACATTTGTCTGTGTTTTATATTTTTCCTCTCTCTTGTTCATATAGGAGGGGTAAATGGGAACAAAGAGGAGACAATTAGGTCTGTCGCTAAATGACACCCATTTATAAGTGGTGAAACTGATTTACAGACACATGTTTTTGTCCTAAACCTATATTTATTTCAACACAAAAGTGAAAACCGCTGAGTCAATGTTGGGCTTTAATGTGACACAGACTGACAGCAGCACTGACTTGTTTGATGTATGATATAACCATCCTGAGGCAAGTGAAGCACAGAACATAAGATGAAGGAGGGTTTCTCTGCTTCCTGTCTCTGCTGTTCCACAGTCAGCATGCTGGTTCATGTCCGAAGGCTTTTTACAGAATGTCAGTCAGCATCAACAGTGAGGTGAYGACCCTTATTAATAAGTTTTGCTCCTGTAGGGGTTTTGAGTATATTCTAAAAAGCTAATTATCTGACCTCGAGGCACCACGCTCTTAATTTGATCAAAATTTAACCCAGGAAAGAGACGAAAACCTGTAACTTTATTGTAATCAGTCTCACAATAAATGTACCCAAAATCGTTTGATGAGTCCTTGTCCTTATCAGAACCAATAATACTTTTTATCAAGACACAAAAGTGACATTAGCTTATGTTGGCACGTTCTCCACTGGCCATTTATTTACAGATTAAATGTATTTACAACTATGGTAAGAAGTGATGACATGTTGAACCAGGTAAAACTGACAAGTGAATAAACAAACAAACAGTGAGAGGTGAGTTTGAGGTTTGGAGTGAGGTGAGGTGAGTTTTGCTTTTAGCTGAGGATTTAAGGGGGGGTCCTAGTTAAATTAGGGAGAAAAATCATTTAGTTTACAAAATCTCATTCAAAGATAATCAAATTACGTCTGAGCACCTGTTTGTCACCAGGACAAATGTTCACTTTTACCCGTTTGTTCCGCCACGTACCAGGAGGGGAAGTCAGCGATTGAAGGTCATCTCTGGGGGGTCGTCTCCCAGGTAGGCTCTCCATGCAAGCTGGATGTCAGGCGGTCTGCCTGTAAAACTCAACTGGTCCCGTGGTCAGAGAAGGGGGTCACTCCCTGRTGACAACGTGGTCCGGTCCTCCCCAGGCGGCTGCAAGACTTCTTAATTTGATTTCAACTTTGTATAGAAAACGAACTAAAACCGACGCATGAATTACAATTAGCTTATTTAACTTCTATAAAATCAAACTCAGATGTTGAGTCGATATTAAACGTTGGCTGTTCGTTCAACCCAGCGGGAGATGCAGAAGGGCCACCATCCTGCCCAGCCCATGGGGAGGGGCTGGCAGGGAGGGCCTCTGCTGAGCTTCTGGAAAGATGTTTCTGACTTCTGATGTTGAAAAACTCTTTTTTCTCTGTCGGTCTTCTTCTGTTTGGTCTTCTGCTTTGACTTCTAACTTTTTAAAACCTCTGTTATGGGCAGAGTCAAGGTTTTAGTTGGCCAATAAAAATGTTACACCTATACAGGAAAAGTTTTTTAACAAATCAAATCTGTTTTGGAGGGAAAACTTTACTTCAGGACAAATAAAAAGAGAGTGTTTTTGTTTAATTATCTCACATCTAATTAAAGGGAGAGACATCTTCTTGCCTCAGTAAAATAAGAGTGTCACACTTTATTAAAATTCAAGTCCTAAGTTTCTAAGGATTAAATCATGGAATAAAACACACATCTTCTTCAGGAAAACATCTCATCAAAACAATTAACACCACAATACACACAGCTATTGAATAGTTAACTAAGTAAAACTTAGTAGATCTTTTATGGTCTTTTTAGTTCTTTCCTGTAAGAAAAATGGATTAGATGACATTCTTTGCAACAAGACAGAAAACATTAGATACACAGATTCCTTTATCTTTTCTCCTTTTTTCACATTTAATGAAGAATGTAGGTCCTTTGTTCTCAGTCACTGAAGAGTCTGGTTAAAGGCATTTATGATCCCTTTGAAGAGGAACCAACAGTCCTGTGCTTATGGGGGATGGAAGCAACAGAACTTGTGGGGTTCGGAACAGGAATGTGGCAATTCTTATCTATTAACAGTAAGGCGTCAGGACGTCTGGTGGGGGTTTGTGTAAGAGATGTTAATTCGAGTCACAAAGGAAGTTCCATGTAAAAGTCTTTAGAAATAGTCTGAAGTTAAAGTGGGGGTTTTCTTCCTCTTTGAGCCGTTGTCATAGGAACAAGTGAAATCTAATCAGAAATTTCCTGATGCATCTCAGTAATCCAGGTAAAAAAAAAAAAAAAAATTGCATAGGTCTTCTGGACGGGTTCTTCTCTAATGAAACATTTCGTCTCTCCTCCAAGAGACTTCTTCAGTCTGAGAGTTTCAGGCAAAATTCAGGCTTTTAAGCCCTGCCTCCATGTGACTGATACTCACATCACATGGCTATCGTTGACACCTAATTAACACTTATTGTTAACAGGGGGTGGAGTGATACTGGCAATAGCAGCACTGTAGGAGGGGGACAACTGAAAACGGAGGTCTCCACCTCTGTTTAATGATGGACGGTCTTTCTTCACAAAAATGGCTTCTTTTACTCCTCTCTCAAACCAACGTTCCTCTCTATCAAGAATGAGAACATCCTCATCTCTGAAAGAGTGACCGCTGGCCTGTAAATGAGTGAAAACTGCAGAGTTCTGGCCATTAGATGTAGCTCGTCTGTGTTGGGACATTCTTTTGAACAGTGGCTGCTTTGTTTACCCGATGTATAACTGGTCGCAGTCCTCCTGGCACTTAACAGCATATACAACATTGCTCTGTTTGTGCCGGGGCACCGGATCTTTGGGGTGAACCAGCCTTTGCCGTAATGTGTTTTGGGGTTTGAAAGCCACTGGGACATCATGTTTAGAAAATACACATCTCAGTTTCTCCGAAACACCCGCAACATAGGAATAACCACTGGTTTGGATCTGGGTTTGGGGTCTTCATTTGGTGGTGTTTTTTTTTTCTAATCAGAAATGATTATTTATATGCAGGAAAATGCTACACTCCTTATCTTAACATATCCCAGGATTTTGTTGATTTTTTTTTAATCTGCCAGACCTGAAGAATATCTAAATTGCTTAAAGCAGAACATAAACTGAATGTTGCAAAGATGATGTCAGGAGTTCTGAAAATCATGTCTGGTGAAAGGGGAGATGCTGGAAAAATCAAAAAGCAGAAAGGAGGCAGTTAAAGAAACTTAATGTCACTAGATTGTTCAAGAAGCCACCTACAACAGGTAAGATATTAACCGCTCACTTTCCACAAAAGCTCACTTTAAAAGATCTGAACTAAAGATAAACACAGATTCTGATAAAGAAACAAGTTTTTTTTTTCAAATCACTTTATTTGGCTTCTTCTACAAAGCTTCTAAAATAACTCTGTGTGTTTTTATTTTTAGCTCCAGATAAGTTTCTCTTGTCCAGACATGGAGTCTGTAATCCTCAGATGGTTTAGAGTAATTACAGAAGACATCGAGCTGTTATAATGACTCCACCAGTCTCCCCTTCTTTATATTCAACTCATCTGATTTCCCAGAGTTTCCTCTTCTTTGGAGCTTCTGTTAGCTTTTAMACCAATCATAAATCAGGCTGAAATGGAGGAGCTTTAGTTTCAGTAATTACGATGCGCTTACATTTAAATCTTGTAAAATCAAAGTCATACAAATGACCTAACAGCAGCCAAACAATGTTCAAGTCAATTCATCACGTGTTTGTTTTGGGTTGAAACTTTTAAAACAAGCTGCCTTTAGAATTTAGATCATTTTCATACATCTGTTCACCTCTAAATGTTGGTCACACAAAGCTGTATTTACCAGTTATTGTATTCCAGTGATGCWGACAGAATGGAAGCTTTTATCTCGATTTCACGGTCCAAGTAACTGACTGATGAAAGACAGGAGGCTGAAAAAAAGATGTAAAGTTGAATAACATGATGTCAACAACAGCAGAAGAATGGTGAAGTAGAGAAATGAAGTGGGATTATGTTTTATAGATTTATTTTGGTAAAAGCACACCTGCCGGATGGAAAGTGAAAAAAGATTTGAGTTTAGAATATCAATAGGATTTTTTTAAACATGCTTTTTTAGGGTATTTAACTTTGTTTATGAACTTTTCTGCCACAAAAAACATGTATCTAAAGAATTTTTTTAATGAAATCGCATGAGCTCTTAGTTTACTATTTGGTATCAATTTGCTACTTTTTATCCTTTAATAATTTTGCTGCGTTTAGCATTTTGCTACCATTTTGTTACTTTCAGCCTTTAGAAGTCTTTAGTTGCTTTAGGCTTTTGCTACCTTAGCATTAAACTAATATTTTGCTACTTTATCCGATAGCCAATTGCTGATTTTAGCATTTAGCTATCTTGCTACCTTTATCCTTTAGCCAGTCTAGCTGCTTTTAGCATTTTTATTTTTAGCCTTTAGATATTTATAGCTGCTTTTACTAGCCTTTTGCTACTTTTAGCATTAAACTAATATTTTTATACACTTAGACCTTAGATATAGCCTTTTGCCACTTTTAGCCAGCATGTTGCTATTTTTTAGCTTTTGGCTACTGCTCTGCTATTTTAGGCTTGTAGCTAGTGTTGTGCTTTTACTTTTGTGTTTTCACTTTTTAGCCATCTAGCCTTTTGATACTTTTTGCTTTARAATAACGTTTTGTCACTTTTAGCTGTATTTTTGCTACTTTTAGCTTCTAGATCCCTTTTGACACTTTTTAACTAGTATTTTGCCTCTTTTCAGCTTGTAGCAACACTTTCTTACTTTTACCTTTTAGCAAATGTTTTGCTATTTTTAGCCTAAACTTTTTGTTGATTTTAGCTGATGTCTACTTTTAGCTATTTTTCTGCAACCTCCCTTAGGCGAGCCTTTTCCTGCTTTAAGCTCTATAATCTTTAACTCTCTCTCTGGGGGAAGTTGTGGCCAGAGCCTGTGATTGAAGAGGTTGCAGGTTCAAATCCTCAAACCAGCATACACAATTTGAGTGGGAAAGATGAAGCGTTCACATCTGCCTCCACCTTTATTTGTGCAGGCTTGTGCAAGGCCTTTAATCCTCTGCTGTTTCCCCGTCTTTTTCTCTGTTCTGTTTGTTTTTGCTTTAACAACATGCAGTTCACACTAATCTCTCATTGAAAATTTGTTTAATCTGATATGAAATCTTGTTCTCACTTGTCAAGCTGTTCCAACACATCACATCTCTGGGTTGATGTGTCGGGCTGAATGTCACAACCTTCAGGCCATGAGCCACTAAAGGTTAATGAGTTCATCCAAAGGCCTAACAGGAAGCCAGCTGATGAGTGGCAGGACTCTTATCAAACAGGACTAGATCCTATTTAAAGGTCCGACAGAATTAGCCGCAGTGCAGAGGAAGCTACAGGCTGCAGATCTCCAAAGGTTCTCTACTGTTTTTTTCAGGAAAAGGAAGATGAGGAAAGTTTGTTGGGAGGAAAAAAAATGAAGAGAGGCGCCAGATGGGAACCCTGTGGAAAAAGATCAGGCARACCACAGAGTCTAAAAAGCTGTGGTTCAACACAAACGCTGAGGAGAGAAAGATCAGCTTCTCTGAGGTCAGACACAGTTTAGTTGGATARATTAGAAAGCTAGCTATAGAAATTGCATTTTCTGCTAAAAAATGCAATGTAAATAGAGTTCTGGATGAGTTTAGTGAAATTTTGCATAACAATGAATTGGTAAATGAGTTGTTAAATTAGAACAGAAGGTAAAATCGGCAACAACTACATATTCACATTTCTGTTTCTAAAATATCAGATTACCAAAATTTGAAGTTTGAAGCTGAGGGGGAAAAGGTTCAATGAAAACAGAGAAATAAACAGAAGAGACAAATCATGACAGTATTTATATATTACAT